CGTGAGTTCCACTCCGGTCCCTCCCCCACGTGCCGCGTGATGTCGGCGGTGTTTGCCAGGATGCGTCTCAGAGTATCTCCACTTAGCTCCTCCTAACACGGAGGCCAGTGCTGGAGATGCTTGTGCTGAGGGCAGCTGCTCTCCTGCCTCAGGAATCGGGAATATGGTTTTGCCTCCTTGGGGAGAGAGCCTCTGGCGTTTGCTGTGCGATTGACAACCATTTTCCTGTTACTTGTTTGGCTTTGTCGAAGTCTCCTAGATTGGAAAACAGGATAGTTAGTTTTAATTCTGGTTCTACCATTGACCTCCTGAGGATTTGAGGGTTTGTGCGACACAGCCAAGAATGTCTGGAGCCACTGGATGCACGCACATGTGTCGGTGTGTGTGCACGGGTATGCGTGTGCACACGGAGCACGTGGAGGAGAGGAGCACGAGATATCATCCCCACAGCCCTTAACACAGTCTCTGCACATAAGGATAAAAATAAAACTGTTAATACATATCCAAAAATGGACCGTTCTGTAGCTTATGCTTACACATGAATCTACTTATTTTCCTATAATTTTCTAGAGACCATATGTTTCTTGGGACCATATGTCTGTAAATGAATCAGATTATGGTCAATGTGAATGTAGTCGTGCCTGGAGCCAGAACAAGCTACCAGGACTTCATAGTTCTGTCTGTCTGTCTGTCTCTGTCTCTCCGTCTATGTATACATGTGTGTATATGCATATGTATGTAATTATGTGTATGTAATCATCTTTAGGATGAGTTCATGTGCCTCCACCAGTTAAAGCTCTTCTTCCAGTCCAGAACCAAGATGCATACTTGCAGCTTTGACTTCAACACTGATGACAATCACATTGATGGTCATTGTGCTTGCCCCGTGCCAGGCACTGTCGATGCTGAGAGGCTTTGTGGATGTACAGGTGGTCTTCTTTGATCCTTGGTGAATGCTGAGGAGTAGGTCTGATTGCTCCTCCCTCACACAGACTGAGCTCAGGTGGGCGCAGAATTTACCCAGGTGGCCCTAACACCTGCCCTGTTAGGGCTGGGGATCCCCAGGAAGGAAGGAAGGCGTGTGTCTGTCCTCCCCAGGGCTGCAGGTGTAGGCACGCGGGAGGCAGATCTGTAACCAAAGTCTTGAGGATGGATGGAGCCTGCATCCCTATTTGGGAAAGTCAATGCGTGTCTTTGGGAGATGGGTCCAGACCTCCCTTCCATGGGTTTGAACCTGCGAAAGGCTGTGTGCAGCTGACTTCCACAGAGCAAAGGCCTGCGCCACCCGCCTGCTAGCCAGCCCGTCGTCCTCTACCCAGAGTGCCCTACGTGAGCTGGGCTCCTGGCAGTTTGCTGATTGGGCGATAAACAATAAACGATAAACAATAATCTGTACAGAAGAGGCAGGACACAGGAAAAGGACTTTGAGCTTCTCGGGGCAGCACGTCGTGGGCAGGTAAGTGCACAGGGGAACTGGCGGAAGGTAAGGGCTAGTAACAAGGCTTGTTGTGCAGATTCCTCTGGAGCGTCTCAGGGCTGGTCAGGGTCTTGGATTGTCTCCGGTGATAAACTTCTGTCCTTCCTGGTGGAAAGCGGAGGCAGACGCCTTTACAAATTTATGTCCTGCTTTTAGGCAAATAGGGGAAGGGCAGAGAGCTTTTCTGGTATCTTCTCTACTGTTTCTCACTTGCCTTCAGCTCAAAATAATCCTCATGTCAAAGTGGCCTATTTGTCATGCTCTGATCCCCTTCACCGCGTGTCTCCTGTCTGTTTCTTCATGAGGTCAATCGCAATTTGCCGTTACAAGAGGTTGTCTGTTGCCCTCTCCCATGAGTGCAGAAATCACCCAGATGTCCTTGTTTCTACGGTTTTAGTCTGTAAAATGTGTGCACGTGTGTGGGGAGGTCAGGCAGCAATGTGATGGATGAGTCGGGAGAAAGATGGTGCTACGTGATTTCAAAGGATCCAGTTCTAAAATCGTACATTCCAACGAAAAAGCTATGAAATGTGAAGGTGCTGGCTGTAACGATGAGAAATTTATCCTGAATAGGGCAAGATGGTGAAGTCGTGAGGAAGTGAGGGCCAGCACTCAGGGCTGGCTTACTTTCAGATGACCGCAGAGGTGCCAAATATTCCATTTTCATATTAGCCGTGCTCTGAGGTCATCGTTTGGCATATTGAAATGGAATCGTACTGAACAGAATGTTAAGACGCAATCTCTATTATTAAAAACAGGGCAAAATTGCTACCTGAGACTCAGTCTAGGATTAAATGGAATTACACAAAGCTAAATAATGATTGCTAAATGAACAAATTGAAGCCACACTGCTCATGAAAATGCACTGTGCGAAATAGTAAGGGGGAACAATGAGAATTGTTACATTTGAAATTAGACTTTGGAGTTAAAGGAAATTTCAGTCATCTAAATATTGCAATTATTATTATTATGTCACATTTCTATTTCAAACAGAAATGGATACCGACAGCCTGGTTGGAATGAGAATTCACACCCGCGTTATCATATGAACATTACAAACAGATTTATGTCAGTGATGAAGAAAAAGCATTTTTCTGAAAAGTAGCTTGATTTGGAAACTCTTTGGGGATACTAAGGCTGGCTCACAGGGGGTCCCTAGGACTTTTCTTGAGTCCATGAGCTCTGAGAAATTTCTGGAATTTCTTGAATTTTCAAATCTTTTTTTGTGAGGAATATTCACCCTGAGCTAACATCCGTTACCAATCTTCCTCTTTTTCTTTTTCCTTCGCTTAAGGAAGATTAGCCCTGAGCTAACATCTGTGCCAGTCTTCCTCTATTTTGTATGTGGGATGCTGCCACAGCGTGGCTTGATGAGTGGAGCTGGTCCCTGCCTGGGATCTGAGCTCGGGAACCTGGGCCGCTGAAGTGGAGCGCATGGACCTGTAACCTCTGGGCCACAGGGCCGGCCCCCTAAATTTGCAAATTTTGAGGACAGAAGGTTGAGTCTCTGAATGTGCCCTGAGATGCCTGCATGCCTTGCTGGGGGAGGACTTATTTGATAAAATGGGTTTATTATTTGCAATGTTTTTGTCACAATCTCTCTCTCTCTTTTTTGGCTTATAAGCAGCAGAAGTTATTGCTTACAGTTTTGGAGGCCGGAAGTCTGAGATTGGTGTGCCAGCATGGTTGGGCGAGCCCTCTTAGGGAAGTGAAAAAATAGTTTAAGCACAATCTCATTCTCAATACTCATTTGCCGTTCCCAATCCCTCTCGCAGAAGTGGCACATGAGTAGGTTTGTGACTGGACAAGATCAGACATGATGGCGTAACCAATGATTACGTAGCTTAGACATTTGACATATCCTTTTGGAAAACTGCCACACAAGACTGATTTTTTTTATCTTCCATGACAGTGGATGGGAAAGAAATCAGATGCTTATTAGGGTGTTTAAGGAATGGCTTACGGGAGACTGTCCACCATGTCATGTCTTTCCAGCCTGCTGGGCCCCCAGAGATTCAGCTGCTTTGCTCAGCTAAATAGACCACTTTACATAACAAGCACGGTGCAGAGATGTGTTGAACTTTTTTTTAATTAAACGGGTCAAAGATAGATACTGAGGTTTATATAGTTCTCTAAAGAGACAGCTTGACCTTCTTCAATAAGGAATTTACTTTTAGGAAGTACTTTGATGATCATTTTGATAGAACCACGGTTGGACTATTATCGTAAAGTAAATGACTAGGCATAAACATCAAAAACATTTATTTCTTTTGCATAAACTTCTCCTGAGTCATGGGGATTCACAGTCTGCAGTTTTCTGGCATCCGAACTTTTGGAAGAGCCTCTCTTCCTCTGCTCTCTACAGCGAATTGAGTGGCAAATGTGAAGCTTATCCTCATTGCCTCTTACCTAATTTGATGAGGCCATATTTCTCTTAAAAGCATTGCATTGTGTTGGTAATTATTTTTCTAGATGATGGAAAATAATTTCAAGATGTATGCGGCTGAGACAGCTTGTGGACTGTTTCTGGAGACCCCTTATCTTCCTTGTTATTCCGCGTGTCTCCAGATCACTGTTTGATTATTTTTTCCATGTTCTCTTATTATTTTGTCCTTCCCCATGCGGGAGCAGGGGAGCCACCCAGCTCCTTTCTGGGCTCCTGACTCTGGAGCCACCTTCAGCTATCTCCCGTCATTTCCCACTGAGGCCAAGTCCCGAAGGTGAGCCATTTCCCTTCAAAGAGCCCGCCCCACTGTGTCCTCTGTGCCCCAGCCAGAGCCTCCAGCATCTGGACCAGGCCGGCCACCCCTGCCCTGGGGCTCTCCTGCCCCCTGCAGACCCATGGGTCAGCCCCTCCGCAGCTGGTCCTCCATTCCTCCCCCTCCATACCTGGGACACCCTTGCCTCCTTTCGGTGCCCAGTACGTCGTAGCCACTCAACAAACTCCTCTCTGTGGGATTATCCTGTGCAGAGCCTCATTTCGGGCTCATTTGTACGCCCCTGGGGCTCCTCTCCTCCTTTACCCTCTTGATTTTATGATATTTACTAACTGCAGGAGCTGGGACTAACACTCAGATGACCAAATTTCTCTTAATTACATCTTGACTCCCTTCAGAAGGATCCTCGTCGATAGCAGGCTTGGTTAAGCTTGGCCTTGTGCCATGACCATGGCCATGAAGACAACCTCCAGAACACCATATTTCAGGGTGTGGATTTTCTGAAATGGAATCCTAACTGAACGTGAAAACAACGAGTGTTGCCTTGATACATATCACACCGTCAGGATACAACCCCAGCCGCAGAAAGAACTAGGCTCTGCCAGTCCCGTCCAAGGGTTAGGAGGGTTCATACTTTCTTAGTTTCGTTTTCTAGAGAAGAAATCGGATGCGGCCTGAACCGGCAGGTCTGCATTCTGTGCTGAAATGACGGTGGTTCTTTTCCCTGGGACATGCACATGGGGAGTCCCCGAGTTAAGTTGTCCTGACTGACGTGACCAAATGGTGCCTCTTCCTGTCCTCTTCAGGGAAGCCATCAGCCGCGTTTGCGAAGCCGTCCCTGGCACCAAGGGAGCCTTCAGGAAGAGAAAGGTAGGTCCTCTCGGCTCTCGGCTCGCTGCGTCTCCTCCACTTCTCCACTCCTCTGTCACCTCCCAGCATCTTCCATCCCATGACTGTTCAGTTTCCTTGCTCCGGGGCCTGGCTCTCATCCCTTTCTTTTTCTTTTGCTGGGGGAACCAAAAGAGGACAACTCGCATTGGCTCCTGTCACTTTCAAAAACAGAAAGAGCTTAGATTCCCTCCCTCTGCCACGTGGTTGACAGAACAGTTAGCTCTTGCTGTCCACCCAAAGAGACCCCTGGTTAGTCACCGTGGGCCTGAACCCAAAGACGACGATAGTGACAAACACGTCAACAGGGCTGGGCGTTCTCCTAAGCCTTGTGGACGCTAACTCGCTCCATCAGAGCATCTCTCCCTGGTAGACACCCCCATGGGGTGCTGGTCACAGTCGAACAACCGGCTCTTGGGGGTGGGGGCAGGGGACTGGGAGACACCAGATTTGTGGTATTTGCCAGTTTCTGTGGCACAAATACTTCCGCCAGGGCCGACTCCAGGCTCTAACGTGATGCCCCTAAAATGAGGTGGGGAAGGATGTGCGGCAGCACGTGGCTGTGTAGCACGTCCAGGTACCACAGATGCAACGAGCCTGAACAACGCAGACGATAGCTAACGTAGCAAAAATTAGGAAGGGGTGAGTTTTGAGTATTTACTATTGGTTTTTAAATATAATTTATTTAATTGTAAGTTTACATAATTTTTAATAGTAGCTGTTTTTAATGGCCAGCTCATAAAATTCCTAAAAGCTTAATAGTTGTCCCTTATGAGCTGGTGCCAGCCAGCTCCAGAACACTGTTGGGTATCCCCCCATTTTACAGATGATAAAAACTGAGGCACAGAGATGAGAACCCCCAATGTGAGGAGGTGAGGGGGCTGAGCTCCAGCCCAGACGCCTGGCTCCAGGGCCTGCCATTCAGCCCACGTACTCGACCTTTCTGTCCTGGAGGTCGTTGGACCAGAAGGAGAAAAAAGCAGGTTAAGAGAAAGCTCAGAAAACTCTTCATTCGAGTGTCTAGTAAACACATCACGGAACCCCCACGCTCAGGCTCTTCTAAGCCTGGACCACCGGTGGGGGAGCATCCCTCTGGGTCTCCCAGTCTGTCCTGAGGCTGAGGTTAGGGGCAGGGTTGGGCTTGTCTCTGCGGCTCCCAGGGTTGCCCGTCGGTTCTGTCTTCGTAGCTTGGGGACATTCACGAACCCGCAGGGCAACTGGGTTTCAGGCAGAGAACTCTGGGTGAAGGCACAGGTGTGAGGCCCATGGTCTGGTCGGCCCTCAAGGGACACAGGGAACCAATAAGGCTCCAGATTCTTGAATACAGGGTGGGGGCAGGTCTCTGAGAACAGAGACAGCGAACCTCCTCTTTCAGAGCCAAGTGGTACCCGACCAGCAAGTTTTGGGGTACCCTCACGGTTAGTCCTCCTGGTGAAGGTGGTGGAAACAATGCCGATTTCTGGGCTCCACCCCAGGTGCACGTCATCAGAATTTCCTGGGGAGTAGGCATCTCTATTTTTAAATAGCTCAGGCAGGACATTCAAAAACAGCACATGTCTGTTAAGAGATGGTGTTGATTGACGTATCACAAGGTGCATGTTCTCATCTGAGGCGGAGGGACAGCAATGGACAGAGGGAGACAGGTGTTGGCAGTGCCCATCCAGGTCCTCGGGGAGAAGGTGCCTGGCTGGAAAAGGCAGCCCATTGGTATCTGGACGAAGGACATTTCTGGGGCTGATGGATGCACCAGTTAGAGCCGAACCGAGTCTGTCCATCCTTGTGCTGGCTCCAGGCCCGTCGGATTCTAATTGGACCATCCACATGAACACTGACCTGGGAGGATGTTCCGCCAAAGGGTTTGTGTTCCATCCCTTCATCAATGAGCATTCTCATGGCTCTATGGGGTTGCTTCCCAGCCCTGTGAGCTGGTCCATTTTCGTGTGGCCCTGAGCAGTTTGATTCTTGGTGGGTTGAAACCCGTTTCTGAGTCTGCAGAGCTGTGGACCCTGACCTGCGGCACCTTCCCCAGGTTTACGAGCGACCCCATGAGACACAGCCCACCATGAGCTGCCTGGAACACGGACACCTCTGACTTTCCCTCGAGGGGGCTCATCTCGGTGTGCGCATATTAGCTGTTTTACAGTTTGCATATTGTGTATTCTAGAATTTGTGTGTTGGTGTCGGGTCCCACCGCCAAGCTCATTCCTGGCACAATTGTCTTCACATGTTTAATGCGGGGAGAATGCAGAGGTTTGGGTTGTGGCCTGCAGAGAGGCCCCAACAGTGTGGCCCCAGCGAATGGAAAGCTAACTTAACGCGGCTTGATTTCACAGCCTCCGAGCAAAGTGCTCTCCAGCATCCTGGGCAAGAGCAACCTCCAGTTTGCAGGAATGAGCATCTCTCTGACCATCTCCACCGCCAGCCTCAACCTGCGGACTCCCGACTCGAAGCAGGTCTGTAGGCGCTTGGCCCCTGCCCTGCCCAGAGCCCCCCACACGACGGCTGTTCCAGGCTGCCCGCTTCCAGCTTGTCCCCGTGGAGTGCATTTGTGTAAAATCCTCACTTGGCTATAAACTTTGGCCACTTCCAAGGGTCGCCAACCGAATGATAGATGGAATTGGTGCTCCTTAATTCTGCTATAAATTACCTTTTTTTTGAGGATAATGCATGAACTCATTGGTTTACTTGCAATGTAAAAAGAGGCGTACGCACATGCAGAAGTCTCCTCGTAATGTTCTGGCCTTTATTTTGTTTTCTTTTATGCCATATTTCATTAGTTCCACAGCCCACATCTTATTTTCACGTCCTGTCGTCTTTGAAATGGACGGCACGTCATGGTTTAACGGACAGTGTTTTTTCTTTCTTAGTGGGTCATTATTTTGGAGCCTCCCATAGCTGGTAGTGTCGTAGGGTCGATGCAACGTGATGGATCTGTGGCATGTCCAGTGTGGGAAGAGTTCCTTGCTGACCGAGGTGGTCAATGACAACATTTACTGAGGCTAATTCTGTTTAGGATGGTTTGGTTCCTCTGCAGTGTCTGTCTTTTAGGTTTCTCTGATCGTTAGTCCCTTCAGCTGGAAAAATGGGTATAAGAGTAGCTGTCCTGTGTACCAGCAGGGCCGTTCTGAGAGCTGAGGGAGGTGAAAATGCTCATAAACCACAAAGGGACTGTGGAGTGTAAACTTCCTTCGCCTGCCCTGCTCAGCCTGGGGCTGAGACTTCCTGCACCTGAGCTGGGATTCCGAAGCGTCTACTCAGAGAAAGATGGCAATCCACAGACCTCTGAACGACACCCTTTCTGACTCTGGCAGTGTGTTCCCGGGTTTGCCCAGGGGTTACCTTCTTGTTGCTGTAGATGTTCATAGTTATTGATTTCCATATTCCCAGGTAAGCAAGCAGCATCCTCAGCTTCATTTCTTCCTCCGTCCCCACCGGAGCTGTTGAATCAATTCTGGATCCAGTGTAGACACAAGAGGCAATGTCCCGCCTTTGTTGTGACATACCGGATGCCACTTCCCACCACATTCCTTCGTCCTCACTCGACTGAAGGATGATCCCTGTATTTCTTGTTGGCCCTTCTAAGGGATGGGTTAAGCAGTCATTTAGGTGGTGGATGAAGGATGTTCGACAGGCTTAGCCTCTGCTGGAGCCGTCTGGAGCCTGAGCCCCCTGACGGCTTGGGTTGTACAGGCCCATGCCCCCTCAAGGGAGCTAACAGAGCTGGGCCCCTCAACTCTGTGCTCACATGTGCACATCCGTTCTTGTCCAGTGTGACTTTGCACCTTTCATTTCTAGGAGTCCTCACACTGTAGCCCCCAATTCTATGGAATATATCTCCTAATTCCACACCTTAAAAAAAAAAGGAGAAGCCGATTCAGAAAGAGTGGAAAGGGTGAGACACCAGATTGGCTGTCTCCATCCCGGGCTTTGGGGCTGGCTGGGTGTGTCCAGGTCTCATCGTCCTGCCCTTGGTTTGAGGGGATGGGAGTGAAGGCTGAGCTCAGGGGCACTGGGGAGGCCAGCTCGGACGACACGAGCACAGTCTGAGGAGGATTTGGCGGGAGTCTGGCTGAGCTTGGGGCCTGGCTGTTGCAAATGAGGACCAAGCCCTCCTGGATACTCCCTTCCCAAAGAAGAGAGAGCAGAACGACAGTGCCCACGTCCCTCTGCAGAGCTCTCAAGGAGAAGGAACGAGATACAGCACCCTCAGAGCAAGGGCACATGCTCTCACTTAATCAGCTCTGATTTCTTACTCCCCTTTGCAATGTCTGTCTTACCAGAAAGCCTGAAATACGGTCACACAGTAGTGGTCACGTATCCTGTTGACCAAATCGGATTCCTGTTTTTCCGCAAATCTCAGTGTCCACTTTCATTTCCAAATGCCAGTTTTAAAACTGCTTTTAAGCAAAAATTAAATAAGCACAAAATCCAATGAGTGAAAATGAACAGCTTTCGAAGCCACTGTTAACTGTCATTTGGGGGTGCCACGTCCTCATCGGTCTCTGGGAGCCTGCTACCCCGCAGAGAAGCAGGATTCCAGAGGGCGGTGGCTGGAGAGCAGCTGCTCGAGGCCGCGGAGCCGGGCCCACTGTTGTCGTTCATTTGTATGCTCGGGTTTTTCTGGATCCCGAGGATTTTCGCAAGTGCCAACAACTGAAGTAGGCATTTAAAAATACCTTATTTTATCTTATAATTCAGTTATAGCTTTGCTTCGACTTCTAGAGGAGCAGGGATGGAAAAATCCCTCGACTGGTAGGATTATGGCTCTGCAGATGCTGACAGCCGGCCGGCGAGGGCCCGAGAGGGCTATGCAGACAGAAACCCAGTTGTGTTGGGTTGGAGACGAGAGCACTCTCCCCACCCCCGGAAATTTGCTCCAATGTCCTCACATTCTCTTTAAAAAGATAAAAATAGCACAGAAGACTTATGTAGCTCTTTAAATTTAGGGCAGCTTCTAATTTACTCAGCGTCTACTGAGCTCCACTGTACGCGGCAGTTTAGAACGCTAATGGAAATTTCCCATTTTAAAATTAGCTTGGAACGTCCTCGCTGGTTTTTAAATTGATAAATTACAAGAGTGCCTGAGGTGGCAGCGATTTTGAATGTTGAATGGAGGTTTTCTAGTCTATGTGACCCTGACAGGAATGGAGTGACATGGGGACGGCCCCTCTTGCCTCCACTCTGGCTGCGGGGTCTGGATTAAAGACTTCTCGTGGCTTTGGCAACCGAAGCTGCACAGATGAAATGTTTTGGGGTGTGGGGGAGACGTTTTCCTTCTCCAAGAGGCATGGTTGTGAAGGCCCCTTGTGTTCGGTCCCAGCTCTGCGTGTTACTAGCTGTAGTGCTTTGAACAAGCCACTCGGCTCCTCGTGGCCTCAGGCTTCCCATCTGTAGGACGGGGTTACAGTAGTGCCCACATCCCTGGGCTGCTGTGAGGCCTCAGCGACCTCATTCTGGCAAAGCAGCTGGATGAGCGGCTGGCATGTGGCAAAAGGTGTTATTACTTTTATAATTGTTATTTTCACTGGGTACCAATTTTACCAATTTTCAGGAGAATTTGTTGATTCGTGTTGCCTGCCAACAAACAGTTGGTTTTCCGAGACCTGGGAAGGGTAGTAACAGCACGTCTTGTTTCTTGTTTCGGGCCCGCAGATCATAGCGAACCACCACATGCAGTCCATCTCCTTTGCCTCGGGGGGAGACCCGGTAAGTGCCCTTGGCGTTGCTTTCTCCTGCTCTGCTCAGGGATGCTCCACCGGCATGCCTCCCAGGACACCATAAAGTTCACTGTGATGCCAACCGTTTCCTCCTGGTTTCATAAGCGCTTTTTGACTGCCCTTTTTTTAGGGGTAACCCAGGACAAGGACCTACTGTTAATTTTCATTTCATTAGCCGAAAGCTGTCAGGAATGCTGGAAGCATTGGCCTTCTCAAGGCGTTGTGAAATAGCTCCCGAGTCTTCCAGAGTGGAGGGGCGCTCTTCTCGTGACTCTGCACGCTCTCCTCTGTTCCTGTTTTCCTAGTGGACCCCTGCCGAGGTCCTCCATTTCTGTATTTTAAGTCTGCTGCAAGGCTATGAATTTACTTAGTCTGGTTAATTCATAAATATTTGAAACTGGCATTTTTCTCTCCAAATCTAACACTGTAGGCTTGTAATGGTTTGTTTTGCCCACAGGAAAGGAGTTGCAGGGAGAGAGAGTAGAGAATAGAATGAGAGCATTCTCTTCTTGCATGGCTCCTTTTGTGACGAGGGCGGACCCGCGTGGGAACTCGCTCCCCAAGTCTGGTCAGGAATGCTCTGATACCATGTCAGGGCTGGTTTCAGGGTCACGAGAGGTGGGGCACGGGGCCACACCCACACACTCACTGCTGTCCCCTGCTGACAGCCCGGCCCTTTGCAGGGCAGGGGGTGCAGAGGGCGGCGGGGACAATGTGCCATCAGCCCTGTCCTGCATTGATGGGGACAAAAGGCTCCTCCAGGACTGTCATCACATTATTTTTCACTGGTCTGGGTAAAATTTTCACCAGTCTAGGGAAACATTTAAAAATCAGGGCAAGAGAGTGAGTTTTTCTTGGAGTTAAATATACTCAATTAAAAAAATTATTCTATGTCCTGAGAAGGTGTCCTTTTGCTGTTAAGTAGCCTTTTTATAATAAAAGGATGATGGTTTATGGGTGGGTTTCTGTTCTTGTTGTGGTCTTCCGTAATCAAGCCTTCCACGGGACGTTTCTGGAGGTCATGTCTGGACAGCCGTGCACCCTGGCCCTGATCTGTGCTGTTCCTGCACGCACGTCTCTACTCTCCCTTTGCCTGTATCTGTGTCGGGCTCCACTTAATTTGCAGTGACTGTCTACTTGCCTGCCCAGCGTGACGCTTGGAACCATAGCTTCCTAAATTCGGAAGGTAACCCAGCCTGAAAGAGAAGAGGGAGAGAGACTGCACCCCTGCACCAGGAGCTCCTTTCAGAAACTTGTCTCAGACCTCACCGTCATGAGGACATTAGGAGTGGAGATAAAAAGATCTAGAAAACAGGAAGCCAGATACTTGGCTTGTGTTAAGATTATTTTATTCTCCAGGATGCACACAGCTCTGTGAACTGTCTTCAAATTTCCCCATCATTGAAAAAAAAACAGAGAAAGCATTTGGTCATTCAGAGACCCTTAAAGTAATTCATAACTTTTTATGTTTTTCTGATTTTTTCTGATACAGACAATGTCCTGATACCAGGGGACACTTTCCATTTTAACCAATCCACGGCCTATGGCATTGTGTGTGAGTTCCCATTCCAAATGTGTTTGTAACCGTTACAATTGGTAGATGTTTTAAATAAAACCAACAATTTTAGGCTCTGTTCCTTCTTATGCTGCCAAGTGTGTATCTACTTATCGCTTTGTGCCTCCGTTTACCTAGTAAGAAAATGGTATTTTGAAATGTCAAATAAAATAGACTGGAAAACACTGTTAATTTCTCAAAAAAAACAAGGCACACTATAATTATAATCTACTATTGTTAGCAGCGTTAAAAGGCTACCAAAAGAATGCCAGGATAACGGTCAGACTCGGGAACTCTTGGGAAGTGAGAACAGAGATGGGCTCAACACAGAGCAGGTGCTTGGCAGCCCAGCTTTGGAAGTCAGTGAGCTCCCTGAGAGATATCGAGCACACTGTTCCGAACAGCAGTCCACTCCCCACGTGCTGGAAAAGGATCAATATCGGGCTCAGAAGAGCTCCGTCCTGGCTTGACCATCGACCGTCTGAGCGACAGGGACACATCACATCTCCTTCCCGACCTTCCTCCCTCGGCTTTGAGCCAGAGCAGTGTTTCTCAGGCTGGAGTAAGAATTTAAAAAGAAGGATTTCCTTGTATATGTCACTAGTGTCCACTCAAATTAATTTGTTTATCCAAATGTGTACAAAAATAAATATAGATTCTTTATGTTTATACTTTTTATTCAACGGTAAACCCCTACCACATTTGGAAGTCAGATAATGATAAACACAATAAAGCCAACAGCATTCAAAGTAATGTTAATTTACCGTGATGGATAAAGTTCTGAAACTCTCTATCCGCTCCCAGTGTGGTTCCAGAACGGGCCGCCACGGCGCGTTCCGAATCTCGCGGTCAGCCTCTCTCCACCACCACGGGCGCCAGAGGACTCAGTCCTTCCACTAATTTCTTCTATTCAAGCAAAACTTCAGTCATACGGCACAGTGTACAAATGCGACATTAATTTGCTTCAGGCAGGGCAAAGGCATCTACTCTGACTGTCCTTTTCTAAGGCTTTAAAAACCAGGCGGCTGTAATGTTGGAAGCCCAATGCAGATCTTGGCACTGAGATGACAGGCAGAACTTGATGACACAGTGATCATTCAGATGATCCTGATATTCTTGTATTAATTTTTAAGATGATCATGGAAATAAGAACACAAAGTTAAAAAGAAATTCTTATGTCATCTCAAACACTGGAGAATATACCTGCCCAAGCAGGGTTCCAGGGATCTCGGTTTGGGAAACACCAGTGCTCCCTAAGGACCCTCCTGACACTGACTTCTCCTGAATCCTGGAAGAGTGGCTATGATTACAAGCTGCAATCTTTACTTTGGCCAATAGCTTCGTAGTCTGACCAGAGCTTCCTTGGCGGAAATGACAGGAATCCAGGTGACTGGTTTCACTGTCTCCCACTCCCTTTCCTGGGTCAGCCTGTGACTATACTGATGGGTAGTGGCCTGAGCAGGAGGAGGAAGCGGCTAGGACGGGCTGCAGGCTGGACAGTGACCCCAGGGTGGCAGCGTGTTGTTTCAGGAGCGGCTGGAAGGCTCTCCCTGCCTGGCCTGCTCTTAGCGGGTCCAGGTGACTTCCGGGCCAGTGCGGCCTGCAGTGGGCACTCGTAGCGGGTGCACGCCCACCCACACTCACCTTCAACTCCTCCCCTCTCTCGCCGGAGGGTTTTCTGGAGCACTTCAGAGAGAGCGGGGCCGTCTCCGCCGCCCTTGGAGAGCAACAGTGAAGGAGCGACGACAGAGCCTCACGGATGCTGAAGCAGCGGGCGCGAAGCCGTAGCCTGGAGCCTCCGACGCAGCAGCATTTGGGGAAACCTGTGACAACAGGGCAGGCCTGTCCCAGCTGCCCCCCGAGACTACTTTGAGTGTCGAAAATGTCAAGTTAGCAGGGAAATCCTTTCCGCTCTCAAGAACTGAGTGCCTTTGACCTTTTAGTGTGCAGCCATCCTTTGGACATCCACTTCTGACTTTCTCACAGTGTGGCCGCCAGCCCTCCAGCAGCACCTCCTGGGAACTTGTCAGAAACGCACATGTGGGGCCCTACTCAGACCCATCCAATCCATGACCCTGCGCTGGGGCTCAGCCGTCCGTGTTTTAGCAAGCCCTGTGGGGGTCCTGACACCAGCTCAGGTTTGAAGACCGCTGTTGTAGATGGCCGACGGCACTGGTTCTCAACCTGGGTTCATGTTAGGATCATCGGAGGTGCTTTTGAAAATCCCTGATGCCTGGGCCTCACACTCAATCCAGTTGAATCAGAGCATCTGGGAGCCGGGACTCAGGCGTCAGCATTGTTAGAGCTCCTGGGGTGACCCAGCATGCGGGGAGCAGGTGCCCTTTGCATCCTGGCTGCTCAGAGTGTGGGCGAGGAGGGGCAGCATCAGCACCACATGTAAGCTGGCTGCCAAGGCAGAGCTGCGGGCCCTGCGCGGACCTGCCGAGTCAGAATCTGCGTTTCACAAGATGCCTGTGCTTGCTGCCCACGGCACAGGCTGAGAAGTGCCGTCTTCCTGGCTGTGGTCTGGGCGGCGTCTGGTTACTGAGCTGCTGTGTGCGCTGTGTGTCTGGCTGTGCCATCTCTGGCTTGTGACGAGTAATGTGGATGTCTCGTTTTCCTTTGACAGGACACAACAGACTATGTCGCGTACGTGGCTAAGGACCCTGTCAATCGCAGAGGTGAGCAACGCCTGATCCTTGCAATGTGTCACTTGTATCCAGTGGACAGAGCACTGGCTGTTAAATGTCCCTCATGCTCTCTGCCTCCTGCATCAAAATGAGCAGGTCCCTTCTGACAGTCGAGGATAATCGAGGCTTGTGGGCATTGAGTCGGCAGCACACTGGGCCGGGTCAGGAGACGCTGGATGTCTGTGAGCTTCAAGCACACACCTGTGTCCAGACAGCTACAGCAGGTGCACGTGGCTGCACACTGCCGCTCTCACTCCCCCCAAAGGTGGCCTCGGCGACACACAGAAGACTCCACAGCCCGCCTGCCTTCCTGCCTGGCCCCAGCTCTGTGTGCATCCACTGCCCACTAAGCCACCCCGAGATGCCACCACTGCCCTGCCCAGCCCTGAAGGCCAGTGTCCAAGCTCAGGGGCTGTCCCCTGACAGCCCGCAAAGGTGCAAGGGCCTCAGACGGGGCCGGGCGGGGGATCCGAGGCATTCAGGCACTTTCCATCCTCCTGGGCCCTTACTCTGAGACCCTCCCTCCACACCCACTACCTGGTTTCTTTTGTCGCTGATAAGCCAAAGCCCCACCCACTGGGTGCTGACAAGCCTGGTGGGTGGGCCGACCAGGGTGCAGTGCCCTTGAACACCAGCCAGCCACCATGCACTGTGCAACTGCAGGTTAGTCTTGACAGAAGTGACCCGTGGGGTTCATAACAACACAAGACAGCACTTTCCTCCACTACCATCGGCTTCTCTGCACCAGCCCCCCTACCCTCCGCCCCAGGTACCAGCTGTTAAGATTTTCTAGTGTGCTTTGCAGAACTTTTTCATCCACATACATACATGTCTTCTCTTCCCCTTTTAAAATTTCCATACAGGTGAGATCTTAGCATTCTGTGTGCTCCCCACCCCCCAACACTGTGTCTTGGATGTGTCTTCAAGACAGCCTGTGTGGTACAGCTTCACTGATCCGTGACATGGCTTGGTGTGATGAGATGGGTCCCAGGTCCACCGGCCCCAGGGGCCCTGCGTACAGACCCCTGCTTCTTTCCCAGCATGTCACGGGGCTGTCCTAAAGATGTGGGGATGTGGGGTTCTGTGGTTAACATGTCAACAGACTTTGCATTGCTGTCCAGTCTGGCGGTAAAACCTTGTGTCCCCCTGTGAGGGTGTGAGGGGGATTTTCCACCAGGCTTTTGCCGCCCTAGCTAGTGAGCTGGGGGGCTGTCTGTCCCTCCTTTCAGCTGAAGGTCACACAATCCTACAGAGAATGTCACTGTGATCCCAGGTGCGCTGGGGTGGTCGGGGATTCCCCAGGTGAGGTGTTCTGATACAGATAACACCCCCTTTGTAACTGTCACAGTGTCGCTCCTGAAGCCGAGGTGAGTGCCCACGAAGTTCCAAGGGTAGATGAGAAGAGAGCACAAAGCATCCGCTTCTCTCCTTCACCACCCACGGGACCCAGGGGAGCTCAGTCCCGCTCCGTCCCCATCTCCTTTCCTACCATCTCCCCCTGCCCTCCAGCTTCACTGACCCCCTGGCTCTGCCTTCAATCTGCCAAGTAAGCGCCTGCCTCAGGGCTTTTGCACCTGCTGGGCCCCACGCCTGCAACATTCTCACACCAGACTTTCGCGTGCTCGCCCCTGACATCCTTGAGGCTTCTTCTCCAACGTCACTTTCCAGGATGGCCTTCCCTGGTCGTGCTGTATGTCGCCCACGCCACCGTCCTCCTCCATCCCCTTTATTTTGGTATCCCTAGGTATTTTGGTATTGTATTCTTGGTTGTGTTAGTTTCCCGGGGCCCCTGGAGCAGATTACCATAACCAGGCAGTGCGAAACAACGGAAGTCTCTTCTCTCCCAGCTCTGGATGCCGGGGCTCTGAAATCACAGTGTCGCAGGGCCGTGCTCCCTGCAAAGGCTCTGGGGGAGGACCCTTCCTGCCTCTTCCAGTTTCTGGTGGTCCCAGGAGTCTCTTGGCTCTTGGCAACATCAGTCTAGTCTGTTCTGTCTTCATGTCACCTCCGCGTCCTCTGTGTCTGTGTCTTCTCCTCTTCTGTTTCTTATAAGGACACTTGTCATTGGATTTAGGGCCACCCTAATCCAGGATGACTTCATCTCAAGATCCTTAACTACATCTGCAAAGAACCTTTTCCACAGGGTCAGAGGTCAGGATGTGAACATGTCTTTTGAGGGCCACTGTTCAACCCACGATTGTGGTCTATTTTTCTCTCTGTTTTCCGTGTCCACCTTCTAGACGGCAGGCTTGGTGACAGCGGGACTCTGCTGTGGTTCTCGCTCTCTCCCTAGACCCCAGGGCAGGGCCTGGAACACAGTGGGTGCTCAATAAGTGTCTGCTCAGTGAAGTCTTCAGTGGATGTTTTGTACATTTTGTCCTGTGCTCACGTGCAAGAATTTCCCCGGGGCGTGTACCTCAAGGACGAATCACCGTGTCTTTGGCATCTTCAGATTTTCTAGAATGGTTATTTCACTTTACAATTCCGCCAGCAGCGTGGGAGGGCTCCTTTTGCTTCCTACCTTCTTCAACACTTGGCATTTGCAGACTTTTAAATTCCTACAATCTGATGGGTGTGAAATTATCTCCTTACAGTTTTAGTTGACCCCTCTGGGGCTAGGACGCACATTAAACGACTCTTAGCTAACAGCATGGGAGCTGAATCGTGGAGCGCTTGCCTGTCTGATGAAAGAAGCTGGTCACTGAGGAGCAGGTGGATACGCGGAGTGAGCAGACTGGGGTGGGCTGACGACTAGCCCTGAGCTTGGAGAGTCCATTTCTCTGCTAGGAATCCACTGTGTTCAGTGTTCATTGAAGGAGTGAGCGTTGTCAGCCCCCTAGGACGAGAAGGCAGCGCCCCTGTTTCGTAGGATCTTCTCTAATTGGGTGTTGACTCCAGGTGTCTCCAAGGTGCCTCTCCAGTCACCAGTGGGTGGGGGCTGTGGCTGTGAACTTGAGCTCTTGGAGCATCTGTGCATCTAGCTAAGAGGACAGTGGGAGACTCCGAGGTGGGACCCCCCTCGGGGGCTGGACTGCCCTGGGAGGCTGGATGGCAGAGAAGTGTGAGTCGGGGGTGAGCGGGTGGGTGGGGGCATGACTTCTTAAAAGGGGAGCACAGATCCTGGGAGCTTTTCTGCAGAGTCCCTCCATGAAAACAGTGCCCACCGAGGTGGCATGGCCCCCCCACAGGGTGTGGAAGCAGTTCACTGTGGTGGGAAACAGGCTGGAGCCTGTTTACAGTCACTGCCGACCTGAGGTTGAGGGGGGCACTGCCCCATAGTCACATGTCAAGGGCACGTGACTCAGTGACACCCTTTCTGTGTGTCAGCTGCTCCCGACCACAGAGGGCGTGGGGGAAGCAGGGGTTTGTGTTTTCAAAGTTAAAAAAACAACGGTAATCAATCAGATGAGATAAGGAATCAGCCCCTCCAAATTCAAAATGATTAAGAAAAGTATTTCAAAGCTGGAAAGATGAAGTTCCATCCATCGTCATTAACGATGCCGCTCACCCGACACTGACAGGGTGCTGCCCTCAGGGCTAAAGGGCACCTTAAACTTGTGTCCCTTTTATCTTTATCTTATCTTTTTTAACATCTTTTAAAAGATATTTTTGTAACATGTATGCTATTATATTAATGCAGGAACACATGTTAATAATTTGTAAGGGGGTGGACAGATGCTCAGTATGGTAAAGAATTCTTTACCGGTGGGCATGAGTTAGACAAACCTCCATGGCCTCTGATTGGGAGATGTGAGACATTTGGGGGTTTGGTGGGTGTGATGGGCGTTGCTAGTGCTCACCCATGTCCCGTCATCCACTCCTCCCCTGCTCACAGAAGGCTGCCCCTGCCAGCCCTCCTGGGTGGGAGGAGCTGGGGCACAGTTGTGTGTGGTGGGCAAGAGCAGGAGGGATGAGGCGGTTGGTGCGGGTGCAACTCCCCGCTCTCTCTTTCTCCCCTGGGTTGTGAGGAGCCTTTTTGGGTTGAGATTCAGGATGGAAAGATCAATGCAGCCTGGCCCACTGAGTCACTGCCTGGGAGAGTTGCCCAGAAATGAGTGAGCAAGAATGAAATTATGTCCAGCCACTGAGATGTCGGGCTGTTTGTCATTGCGGTGTCACTTGCCTGTGCTGACGAACCGAGCAGCTGCCCCGGGCGGGGTGTCAGAGAGCCGGCTCAGGTGACTGGAGGCCCCAGCTGGCCCGCGGTCCCTTTAGTGGGCAGGCGGCCAGGCAGCCTTGAGCTCCGGTGGATAGGTGCAGCCACTGCCTCTGGACTTATTTGGAGCAATGAGGAAAACGTGACCTGGCACCCTGACGTTGGGGCTGTGGACCCACAGTGTCTCCATGAGTGGGAGATGTGGGTTGACCTTTGGAAGGCTGCCAGTGAAGAAAGACGCTGTGATTACTAGGGCTGTAGCATACTCTGCTCTTAAGGGGCTCATCCCACAGAGGGATCCCAGGCTCATCCTTTGTGGAGTGGCCTGATGAAGTCCCCTCACTGGGCCAGGGCTGAGCTGGCTGCTCTGGGGTCTGAGCCAGCTCTCTTGGAGAGTGACCACAGCCTCGCTTACTAGTCAGGGAGAGAGAGCAACACAAGCAACCGAGCCCCACACTGAGCCCCCCACACTCCTGCACTACTGCTAAAGGGCCAGTTTCCCCAGAAGGGATGGGATGAGGGATGGCCCCATTTTGCTGCCTCTGTGTTGGTTTGGGGACATGTTTTAGGTTTCATGACATCATTTTGAGTCTTGACTTGGCACCACCGTTCTGCACGTGCCTCTCATCGAGTCTTGTCTGTCTTTGCCCGTGAATGACGCCTCTGACTCCATCCTTTCTTCATGGAGGGGTGAAGCAAGCAGACCTGATGGTCACCTCGGCATGGACCTCTCATTCCTCGCACCACCAGGTCATACAGGTCAGGTTAGAAGATGGTAGCTTTTGGCTAAAGACCGTGGCAGTATCTCAGAGCAGTACCCGGCCCAGAGAGACCATCAGCCCAGGCTTAGTTTTGGTTTTGGGGTGAGTTTCTGGAACCTGGAGAGGCCATCCTACAGGAGGCTCCTCAGACCCAGCCACCAGGGGACGCGCCTCAGTCCAGTGAGGGCCGAGCCAGGTCCTGGGGCCTGGGACCCTGCTTTAATTCTGCTTCTGCCGCCCTCTGGGATCTTAGACCGACAGGCTCGACCCTCACCAAGCGAGGTGCTTTGCCCGGGGCCCTGCAACTTCCTGAGGCCTGGGAACTGATTAGAGAGGGCCCTCTTCAGGCCTTGTGTCCTCCGCTGTGTAGGGGATGAGTGGGCCGCGCGGGTGGATCATCCGGCCCCCTCCGCGGCAACCTTACTCTCCATTCACTCTGTTAAAGGTTTGGGCGCTGCTCTTCTCCTTAGAAGAAAAATAAGCTGCACTTTCTTGACCCGTCTGCCATCTTTATTCTGGTTCTCCAAAGTCTTTGCCAACCAGTTCCCTTGGCTGGTGCCAATGCTGGTGGGCAGCAAGGTGGAGGGCGCGTGCAGCTGGAGACTCAGGCAGGTGGCAGAGCCAGGGTCTCCCCTCGCTCCAGCCCAGACCCTGCTTCCCTACTGGCTGGAAAGACAGGCCCGCCTATCAGTGAACGAACAACTGTGCAACTGTAATGGCTGTAATATGGGCTTGCTTTGTGCCAGCCCGGGTTGACACCTAATAAATACTAATATCAACAATAAAATAAAATTGTATGAATAATCAATAATAAAAATACAGGTGGGCCATCTGTCTCCTTTGGACAAAGCCCTTGGCCACACCTAAGATAGGACAATGTATCTGAGGGATTGCATCACAATCCGAAGCAACAGGAGAGTCACTGCTCTTCCCAGGAGATGATCTCAGACCCGCACACCCTCCTCGAGCCTACGGGGAGGAGCCGGGCACTCTGGGCCTGGCAGCTGCACCGGGGTGAGCTCCCTGTGCTTGGCTGGCTTTGTGCGTAGAGAAGGCAGCCTGGTGATGAGACAGTCGCCAAACTGTGGAGGCGGCGATGTCTCTGTCCCTTCCTGTGTAGTTTCCCATCTCAGTGCATCCTCTTTCCTCTGTGTCCTGGGTTCTCCTGCAGAGAGGGGACAGTCAGTGTCTCCGGTGCTGGAGAACAGCTACCCCTGTAGAAATGGCTCCTCCTCACCCCCAGGCACCCACTGCGCTGCGGGAGGAACCTCCTGGAAACACTGTTGCGTCCTAACTGTAGGAAGAGAAAGGTAGAACGTATACACACACATCTGTCATCTTCTGCAGGGAGAATGCCTTTATCCCGTTAGTAACAAGACCGTGTCATGCTGGTCACGGTGACACGTGGAGGGGCTGTGGCTCTTCCGAGGGATGCCGTGGACATGACCTGGGGGAGACGTTCTACTTTCTTGTAGAGCAGAGGGAGACCTTCTCCCATGGTCCCCCGACTCGACCCTCTTTTCTGAGAAAGTTTCACATGGATTGTGCTGCATCCTGGCCACAGGACCGTGTGTCCTCGTGGGACAGTGGGTGCCCGTCCCAAAGCAGTGAAGGGCTGCTCCAGGCCCCCAGGGCCTCTGGTCTGGCCGCCAACACCCCTAACTTTGATCTCCTCTTTAGCACAAGCCGCTTTTCTGAGAACCTACGTGAATATCGAGTCTCAGATTAGAGTAGCTACAGGTGTCGTGTGGAGGGGTGGTCATACTACTTCATTAACCTCCCTTCAAAGTCTTCCTAAAAGGCTGCTCTTCTTCCTGCTTCGAGCTGCTGCGTTTCGTGATGACACTTTCCTCCTCTGGGAAGTAAGTGAACAACATGCTCTGAGTCCATGGAATAGCTCGGGATTCACTCAACAAGAGCTGGGTTAAATCCATTTTTGAAGCCTCATGGGGCCTTAAAGGGACTCAGTTCTTGTTACGATCAGGTTCTTTGTCATGTCGAAGTTTCCTTCCAAACCCTGTTTCCCTATTGCGTTCTGAATTCTAAAGAAATTGAAGAGCGATCCATTTGAAATTTTAAAATGTAAAAGGTACTTACAGGGGCCGGCTCCGTGGCTGAGTGGTTAAGTTCGCGCGCTCCACTGCAGCAGCCCAGGGTTCGGATCCTGGGCGCGGACAGGGCACTGCTCCTCAGGCCACGTTGAGGCAGCGTCCCACATCCCACAACTAGAAGGATGTGCAACTAAGATATACAACTGTGTACAGGGGGGATTTGGGGGGATAAAGCAGGAAAAGCAAAAAAAAGATTGGCAACAGTTGTTAGCCCAGGTGCCAATCTTTGGGGGAAAAAAAAGTACTTACAAATGGAACCTTGAATTTTGGAGATCATGGGCTATTAAGAAATGTGTCCCTACAGTGACACTGTTCGGCTGGGGGTCCCCAGGGATGAAGCTGCAGGTAGACCTGCCAGGACGTATTACGAAGGATACGTGCACCTCCTTGTCACTCTCTTCCTTTCGTGCCTGGTGGACGTCACCCTCAGGAAGGGCTTATGGAGAGGAGCTGGGGAGCGTCAGCATCCGTCTCTAACGGCCTGTGTCCTTTGCTCTCACAGCTTGTCACATTCTGGAATGCTGTGATGGGCTGGCCCAGGACGTCATCGGCTCCATTGGACAAGCCTTTGAGCTCCGGTTTAAGCAATATTTGCAGTGTCCTTCCAAGATGCCCGCTCTCCACGACCGGTGAGTGGCAATGTGACCCCATTTGCAGCTTCCTGCATTTTACGACCTTTCCTCTTAAAAATGCTGCAAAAAGGGAAAGCCGCAAAACCTCCTCCCTGAGGTGTGCTCTGGACAGACACAATTCGTCATGGGGCTTCCTGGGCTCACAGACACCTGGCTGGGGCTGGGCTGGGGCTCAGGAAGCCAGCAGATGGAAGCCGACATATGGGCGACCCTCCCCATGTTTGGGAAAACATTTCCTTGAAACTATAGTGACAGTAGCCAAGGTTACAAAAAAGCGCTGTAACGTGTTTCCATTCTGTTTCCTCTGAAACCATGTGATGTTTCCATATGTCGCCGCCCATGTCTGCATCACCACGGATTCTACATGTCCCGTTGTCCTTGTCGTCATGGTTACCCAAAGTCCTGATTCAGAGCTCCCTCCGGAGGCTCTGTGCTCGGGAGGACCACTGTTGGCCTTTGTCACTTTGAGACTCGATGGCCTGTGTGGCCCTCGGCAAGCTCTTGAACCAGTCTGACTCTCAGGGGCTTTCTCCGTAAAATAGGAATAATAGTGGCTTGACAGTTGTTGTTGTTAAGTGTTAAATGAAATAGTAAATGTGAATAGGAATTGTGCGATATTTCGTTTATTGTAAGAAATGTTCAGGGTCTACCACTGAGTTTCCTTAGGTCTTAAGAATGTTCTATGCAACATAAAGCATTAAAAAAAGTAATATGGGGCATAGTGGTCATACAATGTCTGTCCTTGATTGAATTTGCTTAATGAAAACCTATTACAATGGTGTGTTCACTGTAAATGAAACTTTATTTCTCCTAAATTTACTTTTTACGTTTTTTCCCACGCCTACAGCCACGCTCTGTGACTTAGTCGTGAAGGCAGTGCCTACTTTCCCCTTCATTGTTATGGAGACTCTTTCATCTCTCTTGTCATCACCTTTTTTGAGAGAGACTGTTAATTTTTTTTCCTCATCCACTGGGAAATTTCTTTTAAGAGATTCGTTCGGAGGTGCTTGTGAAGAGCCCACTTTTTGCTGGTTATAGAAGCTTCTGCAGCCTCAGACAAGCATGTGCATGAAGCGTTAGAGTTAGAAGGTGGCAGGGACTGGCTACCCCCCAGAGGGAGAACAGATGTGTCAATTTTATATGTAATGGGACATCGTCGTTAGAAAGAATACATCATACGTGTGTATTACCAGAACAAATCTCAAAAAACTTTAAATGGAATGAAAAAGGATATGATTGATTTATGGAAATTTTAAAAACATACAAACAAGGTATATACATATAAATGTGTGTGTATAAAGAGTATAAAAACATGCAAGAAAACTGGTACAGCCACTATGGAAAACAGTATGGAGATTTCTCAAAAAGTTAAAAATAGAAATACCCTATGACCCAGCCATCCCATTACTGGGTATCTATCCTAAGAACCTGAAATCAGAAATCCCAAGAGTCCTTTGCACCCCTATGTTCATCGCAGCATTATTTACAATAGCCAAGACGTGGAACCAACCTACATGCCCAGAAACTGATGATTGGATAAAGAAGATGTGGTATATATACACAATGGAATACTACTCAGCCATAAAAAAAGACAAAATTGGCCCATTCACAGCAACGTGGATGGACCTCGAGGGTATTATGTTAAGCGAAATAAGCCAGTCAGAGAAAGACGAACTCTATATGACTCCACTCATAGGTGGAAATTAGTATATTGATAAGGAGATTGGATCAGTGGTTACCAGGGAAAAGGGGGGGTGGGGGGAGGGTACGGAGGGGGAAGTGTTGTACCCACAACATGACTAACAATAATGTACAACTGAAATCTCACAAGGTTGTAATCTATCATAACATTAATAAAAAAAAAAATTGTGAACTATAAAAAAAAAAACATGCAAGAATATTACACACCAACTCTAGGATATCTGGGGCTGGGGCTCTAACTGTGTTTGTCAGGTGTATTTCCTCCCTAGCATTTTATAATACGAATGTTCTGATATACAGAAAGATTTTACAGTGAACGCCTGCAAACCCACCATTTAGATTCGACCATTAACGTTTTGCTGTTAATATCACATATCTATCCATCCAAAGTAAGTTTGACAAATTTTATTTCTTTAAAAACAAAAAAGCAAATATAGCAAAATAACAAATTTTAAATCTCAGTGGTAGATGTGTAGGTATCTCTTCTATCAATTATTATGTTCTTCTGCTCTTTTGAAATTTTGCGTAGAAGTCAAGTAAATGTACTAAAACAGTACATACAAAATGGGTGGAGGGAGTTAACTGAACTGAGGTCCTCTGGGAATGTATTCAAGGTGTGACGTTCGTGTATGTTTCTATATAACAAAGTTTGAAGAAGTTTTGGAGGAAGACAATGAAGTAGACAGATCTTATCTACTGAGAAAAGCTTCAGCTCCAAATGCAGCTATTGGCATGAAATTTCTAAAGCAGAGCAGTCACGGGGGACTGCCTCTGGCTTCATTTGTGGGGGGTCCCTGACATCCATCTCCCCTCGTCTGACTTCTTGTGTCCACTGAGCAGGTCTGAGAGAGAGGGTGCAGGGGGGACGTGCCTCCCGTCCAGCTGGGACAGCCTGGGCCACAAGAGCACCCCCTTGCCTCCTCCACTGTGCCCCTCCTTGCCTCCCAACTCTGTTCCAGGGACCCTGGACTGTGGAGGGCGCTGGCCAGTTCCTTCCAAGATGCTAGGGCCCAGGAAGACAGGAGCTTCTACTGTGAGGAGATCTCCTTGGGTTTTCTGCTCACTCTCTCAGGCCATTTCTCTCCAACTGGGACATGTGAGCTGGAAGTATGAGAATTTGGGGCAGTCAGCTTCTTTGGCCACAGCGGTCGGAGTGGAGATGGGAACAGGTGAGGGTGGAGCGAGTGTGGCAGTGTTAGGGCCTACCAAGCCGCCCCAGGATATCTGAGTGCCATGTTTCTGGGCGTACCCTCCCCCTTCCTTCCTGTCTTGCTAGGGAGTGGATGGCTTTATTGTTTGTGAATTAGTGTTTCTTCATTGTATTAATTATTGGGGGAGAGACTCTGTGATCTGGATTCATGACCTGTCTCCAACTGGAGATCAAAAATAGTGCTTTTAAATGAATGGGTTTTTTGGTTATAGCCTGATTTTCCTTGAAAGACTTTTCCTCTGATTTTTCTTGCAGAAATCCAATGTCAGTTTCAACACAAAACTAGAGAAGACAGTGAAAAACAAATCAAATGTGGGTTGTTTTTGCACTGTCGTGTCTGTTCCGTTGATCTACATAGCCATCCTTATGTCGGTACCTCGTAGCCTTGAATACCGTAGGTTTGTAGTAAGTTTGAAATCAGGAAGTGTGAGTCCTCCACCTTTGTTATTCTTCAAGATTTACTTTGATTCTTCGGGGCCCCTTGCATTTCTAAATAAATTTTAGCGAAAAAAGACGTTGGATTTTGATAGGAATTGTGTTGAATCTGTAGACCAATTTGAGGAGTGTTGCCATCTTAACAACAATAAGTCTTCCAATCCAGGAACACAGGATGTCTTTCCATTTATTGAGATTTTAATTTCTTTTAACAATGTTTTGTAACTTATAGTGTACAAGTCTTGCACTTGTTTTGGTAATTAGTATTGCCAAAATAATAAATATTTTGTTCTTTTTCTTACTATGATAAATAAAATTGTTTCTTAATTTTATTTTTGTTTTTTTCATTGTTAATATATAAAAATACAGTTGATTTTGTATATTGATCTTGTATCCTGCAAACTTGCTGATGTCATTTATTAGCTCTAATCATTTGTGTGTGTGTGTGTGAATTCCTTAGGATTTTCTATATATAAGATTGTGTCGTATGCAGATAGGGACTGTTTTTCTTCTTCCTTTCTAGTCTAGATGCCTTTTATTTCTTTGTATTAACTAATTCCCCTGGCTAGAACCTCCAGTACAATGGTGAATAGAAGTGGAAAGAGGGGACATCCTTGTCATTTTCCTGATCTTAAGGGGAAAGTGTCTAGTCTTTTGCAATTAATTGTCTTGTTAGCTGTGAACTTTTTGTAGATGCCAATTAACAGATTGAGAAAACGCCCTTCTGTTCCTAGTTTGTTTAGTGTTTTTATCATGCAAAGGGGTTGGATTTTGTCAAATGCTTTTTCTGTGTCTATTGAGATGAGTATTTGGTATTTGTTTTATTCTATTGATGTGATATACTATGTTAGTTGATTTTTGGAGGTTGAACCAACCTTGCGTTACTGGGATAAATCCTACTTAGTCATGGTGTATAATTCTTTCTATATGTTGCTGGATTTGGTTTAATAGGATCTTGTTGAGAATTTTTCCATGCACATTCATAAGGGATATTGGTCTACAGTTTTCTTTTCTTGCAGTATCTTTGGTTTTGATAGGGTAATATTGGCCTTATAGACTGAGTTTGGAAGTATTCCCTTCTCTTCTATTTTTTAGAAGAGTTTGTGAAGAATTGTTGTTAATTTCCCTGTAGATGTTTGATAGAATTCACCAGGAAGCCATATGATCCTGGGCTTTTCTTAGAATGTAAGTTTTTTGATTACTAATTCAATATCTTTTACCTGTGACAGATCTATTCAGATTTTCTATTTCTTCTTGATTCAATTTGGTAGTTTGAGTCCTTGTAGGAATTTTTCCATTTTATTTAGTTTATCTAATTTGTTGGCATGCAATTAGTAATAGCTTCTCTTATAATCCTTTTTTATTTCTGATGGTTGGAAGTAATGTCCCTTTTTCCTTGTTAATTTTGGTAATTCCCTTTTTTCTTGCTCAGTCTAGCTAGAGATTTATCTGTTTTGTTGATTTTTCCAAGAACCAACTCTTGGTTTCATTTATTTTCTCTACTGTTTTTCTGCTATTTCACTTATTTCCACTTTAATATTTATTATTTTCTTCCTTATGCTTGCTTTGGGTTAAGTTTGCTCTTATTATCGTAAGGTAGAAGGTCAGGTCATTGATTTCAGATCTTCTTTTATGTTATAGGCATTTACAGCTACAAATTTTCCTCTGAGCACTGCTTTAGCTTCATCCCAAGTACGTTAGTTATGTTCTTTTTATTTTCATTCGTCTCAAAGTATTTTCCCTTGTGATTTCTTTTTTAACCCATTGGTTATTTAGAAGCAAGTTGTTTAATTTATACATATTGTGAATTTCCCATATTTCTTTCTGGTATTGATTTCTACTTTGATTCCATTATGGTCTCAAAACATGCTTTGTATTATTTCAATCCTTTAAAAATTTTAAAACTTGTTCTATGACTTAATATATGTGGTCTATCTTGGAGAATGTTCCATGTTCACTTGAGAAGAATTTGCATCTTGCTGTTATTGGGTGGCATGTTTTATAGATATCTGTTAGGTCTAATTAGTTTACAGTGTTGTTCTGTGTTCTCTTTCCCAATCTTCTGTCCAGTTGTTCTATCCTTTATTGAAAGTGGGGTATTGATGTCTCCAATTATTAGCATTGAACTGTCTATTTCTCCTGTTGATTCTGTCAGATTTCACTTGATATATTTTAGGATCTGTTGTGAGGAACATATAGGTTTATAATTGTTACATCTTCTTGATAGATTGCGTTTTTATCATTATAAAATGTCTTTATTTGTCTCCAGTAACAATTTTTGTCTAAACGTCTATTTTATCTGATATTAGTAGAGCTGTAAAGCTCTCTTTTGGTTACTGTTTACATGGAATATCTTTTTACATCCCTTTACTTTCAACCTACTCACATCTTTAAATCAAAAGTGTATCTGTTGTAGAAAGCATATAGTCAGATCATTTTTTTTTTTAATCCATTCTACCAATCTCTGCCTTTTAATTGGAGTGCTTACTGTATTTACATTTAATGTAATTGTTGGTAAGTTAGGATTTTTGCCTGCCGTTTTGCTATTTTTTTTCCTGTATGACTTATGTCATTTTTGTCCCTTTATTCCTCCATTACTGCTTTCTTTGGTGCTAAATAAATAATTTTTGAGTATACTATTTTAATTTCCTTATTGTTTCTTTTACTACTTTGTAAAGTAATTTTTTTAGTGGTTGCTCTAGAGATTATAGGTAGCATCTTAATTTATAGCAATTTAGTTTCTATTAACACTAGTTTAATTTCAATAGTACACGAAAACCTCTCCTATGTAGGTCCCTTCCTCCGCCCTCCATTGTGCCATTATTGTCATGAAAACGACATCTTTATACACGTGTCCATCAACATAGATTTACGTTCACTGCTGTATTAAGTTGTCTTTTAAATCAAACAGGAGGAAAAAGTAACAGGCAAAGACGATATTTCCACCGTCTTTTATATGTACCTATGTAGTTAACTTTATTGTTCTTCTCTATTTCTTTATGTTGATATGTATTAGTTTAGTGTTCTTTCATTTCAGCCTGGAAGAACTTCCTTTAATATTTCTTGTAGGGCAGATTTGCTAGTCATAAATTTTCTCAGTTTTTATTTATGTGGGAATGTCTTATTTCTGCTTCATTTTAAAAGGATAGTTATACTGGATATAGAGTTCTTGATAGTCTTTTTCTTTCAGTACTTGGAATATGCCATCCTACTACCTTCTGGCGTCTGTTGTTTCTGACAAGAAATCATCTGTGAATATTGAGGATCTCTTGTATATGATGAGTTGCTTCTCTCTTGCTGCTTTCAGGGTTCTCTCTTTCTCTTTGGCTTTAAAAAATTTGATTATGATGTGTCTAGGTGTGCATCTCTTTGAGTTTATCCTACTTGGGTTCTTTTTTGTTTTTATGAGCTTCTTGAATGTGTAATTCAATAATTTTCATCAAATTTGGGGAGTTTTTGGCCATTATTTTTTCAAATGTTCTTTCTGCTCCTTTCTGTCTCTCTTTTCCTTCTGGGACGCCATTATGTGTATGTTGGTTTGCTTAATGGTGTCCCATAGGTCTGTGAGGCTCTGTTTATTTTTCTTAATTCTTTTTTTTCTTTCTATTCTGATTGGATAATCTTAATTGACCTATCTTTAAGCTCTGTCATTCTTTCTCTGCCTGCTCAAACCTGCTGTTGAACCCCAGTAATGGATTTTTTATTTCAATTATTAGACTTCTCAGAGCTAGAATTTCTATTTGGTTATTTTAAAATGTCTGTTTCTATATTGATATTCCCTATTTGGTGAGACAATGTTCTTATGTTTAGTTTTCTGTACATGGTCTCCTTAAGTTCTTTGAACATATTTAAATTAGCTAATTGAAAGTCTTTGTCTAGTTAGTCCAAAATCTGAGTTTCCACAGGGACAGTCTCTATTGATTGCTTTTTGAGTGTGTGAGCCATACACATGTTTCTCTGCATGTCTCATAATTTTTTGTTGAAATTGAAAATTTTAAGTAATATAATGTGGCAAGTCTGGAAATCAGATTTCTCCCCTCAGGATTTGTTGTTGTTGTTTGTTGTGATTGTTTGTTTTAATGTCTTTTCTAAACTAAATCCATAAAGTCTGCATTCTTTGTCATATATGACCACTGACAATTCTGCTCAGTTCACTTATTAGACAGCTAATGATTAGAGAGAGATTTCCTTAAATGCCTGGAAACAGTGAGTCTCCCAGTCTTTGCTGAGCATCTCTGTTTTTGTGTTGGGGTGGTCCTTCAACACTCAGCCGGGCAGTTGACAACTCTGCCTTAGCTTTCATTGCCTGCTTGTACAAAGCTACAAGGTGAGCCAAAGGTGAGAACTAGGGCCTTTTCACATCTTTTGTGAGCAGACACCTCCTTGGACATGAACACATCCCTACACATACATGTGGCCTTCTAGATTTCTGGAAATAGATGGAAACTTATCAAAGCTCGTATGGACATCCCATTTTCTAGCTTTTCCTTTTAAACTTTTGATGAGCCTACTCTGCCCCAAATGTTATCCACTGCCTCAGGGAGCCATGACATTAAACAATTGCCTCTAATTGTTTTTGACAGATGTCCCTGGGGAAGAATTTTTACCTGGGCAAGCTCTGAATCAGGTCAGAGAAAGACAGCCTTGGGAGTGGGGTCTCCTGGGGAGTGATCAGACAGGTCGTATAGTGATTGTCCTCTGAGAATGGGAATGGCACTTTGAAGGAAACTCAAGGCTGTTTTGTCCCCTCGTGTGGCTGTCGGGCTGCTGGTTTTCACTGTGATTATGGGCTGTTGGTTTCCAAGGCTGCCAAGGATATGAAAATAGGGCAAATTAAAATGCCACAGAGCTGCTGTTCTTATAGCTATTGTTTTGGTAAACAACAAGGAGTTTAATAAACACTCCTCAGGTTGCTGCAAGATTCTGGTTAATTTCCAGGGTTCTGAAAAGTTGATCCTGAAAAGTGTTTTTTGCTAGTCTTCTTGTTACCTTTTCTGGAAGAGAAAATTTTGAGAGGTCCCTACTCTGCCATTTTCCCTGATGTCACTAAATCTCCTTTTTTTTCATTGATTTTGTTTTGGGCAAATTTCATGACTTATTGAAATGTGTCTGTGCCTTGAGGATCTGGTTACCCTTAGATATAAATTTTTCTTTCCTAATTAAAATGTACTTTTTAAAAAAGAGTTCTTTCCTATTTCAAATATGCCTGGAATTTTCCAAAGGGTAGAAATGTAAATAAGGCAGAGATATTTGGTCAAACAACTCAGTTGCTTTTCGTATGTGTCTGAGACCTAGAGGCTGAGGGGGCAGTGACTAAACTCTGTTTTCTGGAGTGACAAATACTATCAAATATTAGATTTGTTGTTTTTGACTGCAAGCTCTCCTTTTGGCTAAAGCCCTTAAAAATCCTCTTTTAACAGAATGCAGAGTCTGGATGAGCCCTGGACTGAAGAGGAGGGCGATGGCTCAGACCACCCATACTACAACAGCATCCCAAGCAAGACGGCCCCTCCAGGGGGCTTTGGGGATGCTCGACTGAAAGCCAGACCCCACGCCCCTGACACAGCGCAGGTAGGTCTTATACCTTTTTCCTTGGATGATGGCAAACTGAGCTTGATTTCCTTTTATTTTCTTCAACTTTATTTTCAGGCCGGTGTTCTGTCCAAGCTTTGACGGAGTAACTCACAAGCTTTGTCCCCTCGGATTTCACAAAACAGACCAGTAGGAAAGGCTTTTGTTTGAACATCACCAGGCGTTAGTCAGATGCCTAGGAATCATATGTGATTCCTGAGCTACAAACCTGGGCATCCCTGCTCCAGCCTAGAACAAGCCTTGTTATATGGCAATCTTAACGAGGGGAAGAGAGTCCAATACTTTAAAAAGGCCTAGGGTGCTTTAGGTTCTCTGAAAAGACAGTGGATATAGGCCTTTAAAATGGTGAGAATTTTATGAGTTTTTCTACTTTAGTCATGTCTCTGATTTTCCCTCTAACTCAAAATTCTAGTAAGGCAATGACTAGTTCTAGAGTTATGGGATCTCTAATCTTTATAGGGAATTTTTTGATGTCATCTACTTTATGTGAATGACATTTGACACCAGTAAAAGTGGTAGAATAACATTGAAATTGTGTCAATACCTCTGACACTGAGAGAGGATCGACTGGGTGGACTCGCCCAGGCATGATGATTATGGGTGGGAAGTATATTCTGACTCTCAGAAACCCTCGAATGGGGTTTAGTCGGGGGCTTGATGAGGGACCTGGCTGCATGTGGAGAGCACAGGTTACTGTCGCGCTCAGGGAACGGGGGCGTGAAGACAAGGGGGAGGTTGTGTAGCTTTGATGAGATGCTGCCTCTTCCTCACGCCCACACAAACTTACTTCCTAAATCCTAATGCCAACCATGAGGCACCAAGGGAAAATTGGGTGTAATCGGGGAGGCAGTCGACCCCCAGTGAGGTCACTTCTATCGCACCATGGCTTTCAAAGGTGGGGAAACAAGAAGATAATTTTTTCTCTTTGTGAATTCACACGTGTCTGTAGTTTTCAGGAAAAGAGCAAACTTACTACCAGGGGAGACACTTAGGAGGCCCGACTGCTGAAGACTGGCGGCAAACAGCTGTCAGGCAAGGTGAGAGGCCGGGGGAGGGGACGCGACACCAGGACACACGGAGGCTGTGTGCTCCCCCGTGGCCATCCACCTCCGTGGAGCTGCAGAGTGACCCGCAGGACACACCTGCTGTGGGGCAGGAGCTGCAGGTTCTAGCCGATCACAGGGCCAGAAACGACGGCGCTGGGGGAGGCACTGGCCCACGTCAACTGGTGCCTCCCTGGCACCAGCACCAGCTCACACCCCTTCGTGCACCCCGGACACTTTCCACCGCAGGCTTTTCCCCGGCAGGAGGGCCTGAGGACTCCACCTCCCCAGGGGCACCTGCGCCCATTTCAAGCAGGAGTTGGTTGGGACTCTGTGTGTGTTCTCTGCCCTCCCTAAGCTCCCCAGCAGGGCTGGGCCCCTGGGGCTCCAAGGAGGAACCAGTAGCTCCCCTTCCTTGCCTCACCCCCCTCCCCAGTCCAGGGTCAGCTTCAGGAAGAAGGGAGAGACACCTACCCCGTCAGAGGTGGCAGCAGGGGCAGCACAAGTCCCTCACGGGCCCTGGGTACCTATGGGGGACACTCCACATCTTGTCAAAGCGTCAAGCATGCACCTGCATCCCATGTTAAATATCACTCAGACATGACTGTCTAAGGACCTACCGCTAGCTGCTAATAAGTCTCTATTCTCTAGACAGTTATTTCTGTACATGTACATATATGTGTGTATATATATTTTAAGGATTTCTTTTAATTTTAAACTTTTCCCTCCTCCAACATTTTCAAAACTGTTTCAATAGCTCTGAGCCCTTGGTTATTACTAACTCTGAGGGTCTGAAGGAGACAGAGTGGCAAGTGGATGAAGATCCAGTTTGTGCTTCCCTGTATATCAGTGTAACCATTTATTGGTTTACTGTTAAGGCATCTCCCTGGATTATCGTCCTTTGCGTCAGGGAGTAAATGATGACGATTTATTTGAATTGCCCCCTTGTGAGAGAATTCCGTGTCTTGCCTGCCCCAGCTGGCAGATGACCCACCCGTGCTGCCCAGTCAACAAAATGCATGGCTCTACCCCCCACCAGGATGGAAACAGCGAACCAAAGTCAGAACGCTTCCCGAGGTGCTTTTTCACTATGTTCTCTGTACACTGAAGATGTATTTGGATCACTCTCGTGTTCACAGACATATCGTAACTGCTGGTGACCGAAGGAGACACGTTATTTACTTTAAATGTTCACTTTATTGAAAAATATGTCAGATTTATTGAAATAGGAGGTCCTTTTTTGTATTTTCAAGTTATTCCGGCCTGATCAAGGACAGCCACTGTAAGAGATGCACCAGGGCCCCAATGAGCCTCACACACGTTCTTGGCCTAGAACTCGAGACTCATAACTCTCAATAAATTTCAAGTTCTTATTTGAAAGCAAGACATATCTTTTCCATAGAACAAATTAGCATGCCCCTTGTTAATTTGCTAGCGGCTGTTCCCCCAAAATGAAACCTAGCTCTGGGTGCGGCCCTGGGGCGTGTGTCCACCGCCCCGACTTGGTACCTGCGTCGTCTGTCTGGGGAGGGGCCGTCGTCAGGAAGCCATTCTTTGTGCTTTTGGTCGTCTCCTCTTACAACTTAGTTTGTAAAGTTTTTTTCACAGAAGGATTTGTGTGCAATACAGGCACACGCGTGAGCACAGATGGCCATCACCAGGCCAGGACGCGGGACCCAGGAGCGGCCTGGGGAACAAGGAGACCTTGTTCAGCAGCAGCAGACACAGTCAGGGCTTAGTGGGAGGCGCTCCTGGGAGGGAATGTAGCAGGACACTTGCCTTCTCACACTCACAGGCCGGGGACGGTGGTGTGCTGCCGAAAGTCCTGCCACAGGCCCTGGGGAAAGCTGCTTCAAAAACCCTGAGCTAACTACTGGATTGAGCTGGAGTGAGCCAGCTCCAACACCCCACCGCCCATAGGGTGTGAAACATAACCTCGCCCCAGAGGTGTGACGGCCAAGAGGCGATCTTGAGAACATGTCTAAGTGAGTTAGAGACAGGGCTCCCGCAGAGAGAATCCGATAGTGATCTGCAGGGGACCTTGGGCCACACCCCTCACTCACCTCGGGCAACACCGCAGGGACTCCCCAGCCCAGCCTCTGCACACTTGGGCCAGTTGGGAAGCCCCAGGCAGGCACTGCCCTGGGCGGTGTAGGCGGGTCCTCAATCACAGCCCTCCCTGGACCTCCTGTGTTGAGCCGGCAGCAAGGCCGGCTCCACGGGAGGCTCAGGTCATTAAGACCGAACTTCCTAAAACAGGGCACTTGCGTTGCATTGCTGGAATGGAGGTAATTTATGAAGTGTTCACCTTCTCTTGAGAGAAAAAGAGAGAGAGCAACTAAAACAAGGCTTGCCGCTCTCCTGCTGGGGTATTGGCTCCCGGGGCCTCTGTAAAGGGCATGAGGAGACCGAGGCAGCTTCTGCCACAGGTGCGGCCAGCTCGCTCCCGGCCTGCTCAGGTGGCCCGGAGTCTTGGGGAGGCCCCTAACCATCACGAGGGCCCTCTGTCATGGGCTGGCAGGTCCCAGTGTGACAGGAAGGACTGGAAAGTGTCCTAGCCAGAACAGAACAGTGCATGTGATAGGATCGAAGAGGAGATTTAACAATGGGTATCTGCAAGAAGGATTTTCTCATCCATGGGCTGAAGGAGCTTCTCTATGAAACACTGGGCAGCTCAGCTGTGGATGCACCAACAGCGTTACCGTCAGAAGAGACCAGAGGGCTCCTTTTCTTGTTGCAGGGTCCTTGGATGTCTACAGCACGCCGGAAGGCAAAGGTCCCGCAGCCCTCATGGGAGAGGCCCCCGCCTACGTGAATGCCCCGCCCGGCCCCACCCCGGACAGCAGCGCCGAGAGCAGCCCCAGGAAGGATCTCTTCGACATGAGTGGGTTTCCGTTCACCTCTGGTTTTCTCCTATGCTGAGGTTGCTTTTCACACTGTCTTTGATTTGAAATTTGTGCAATTATTGACTTTTCTGCTAGTGGGGTTTTGATTCACGTGATGACTAGCTGCACTTTCCTGGGTTACGATTGGGCTTTTCAAGGCTCTGAACTTGGCCGACCTCTGCTTTGGGATTACAACCCTCTCTGCAGTCCGGGGCAAAGCAATTCCCCCTTTTGGGAACTGACTTTACTCTTGCAGATCTGCACATGTGTTGAGACAAATGATACACATAAATAAATGCATTTATTTATTTATTTATTTAAATATTAATTGGCTATCGTGTGCCAAATACTGTATCAGGCGCTAAGGATGCCAAGATGAAGTGGCCAGGCCCCCATCTTCACAGAGCCCCCAGTCTGTTGAGCAAGACCAACACATAAGCCAGAAACTGCACCCCCCCCCCCCCCCCCGGTGTGCATGCACATGCTCGTTCTCCCTCTCACTTTCTCTCTCTTTCTCACCCTATTCTTCTCCACTGAGTACAGACATTGTGTGTATTCTACTTACTGGGGATACACAGGAAAACTAAATAGACAAAGTCCCCCTTCCCATGGAGCTTAAATAACCACTGGGGGTTACCAGGTGGGACAAGTGCTCTGATGGAAAGTAAATCATGGTAGGAAGAGTGACTCGGAGCTCCTGTGGATAGCAACAGAGAGTGATGTGTATTATGAACCTTCTGCTTGTTGTATAGACTGAGAAAATCAAATCAACCATGAACTGGTTAATGAAAGTGGGAATTGTTCTTCAGGAATTTAGAAGGAGATTCCCGAGCTCAGAAAGACCTTTACATTCCCAAATTTCTTTTTCAAATTCCTTGAGAATTTTACAGGCTGAAGAGGGAGGGGGAGGAGACTAGTGTCTGATGAGTTTCTAGCATGTGCTGGGCACTTCTCGTTTCACGGGATTTTAGCAATGGTCCTGCAGGTGGACACTATTATTATTGTTATTACTGTTACTATTCTCCAGAGGAGGAAGCAGAGACTCCTAGAGCTCAGGGAGTATCCCGCTGGTCCAGCACTCGCTGTTCGTGTTGTTGAGTGCAGTGAGGACAGCGCTGAGCGCTTCGATGGTTAGGCGGCACCACGACAACCAAAGGCCAGTTCTCCTCAGCCACTGTGGCTTCCCAGCCGCTGACTCCCATTCTGACCTACAGAAATCACCGGAGCAGAAAAACTGCAAAATCTCAGTGCCCCGCAGCATCTTAAAGATCATCCAATCCAATCTCTTCTTGTTAAAATAAGTGGAAGTAGCCTACGAGGTAGGAAGTGACTTTCCCAAGATGCAGCGCAAAGTGCTGGCTCTCGGAGCCTCTGCTGCAGTTGTAACGATGGCTCCCAACTGCAGTTCAGTCGCTGTGCTTGTGGTCAATATCCACTGTTTAATTTCGTCAACGTACCAGTGACTCCTGGCCCCAGAGCCTGAGGAGAATTAGATTGGGCTGGGCTTTGAGATGGGAAAACTGAAAACCAGAGCCCCCTTTTCTATTCCATTAAATTTCACCTCCTGCTCCCAAAACCAGAGAAAGGGAGACAGAAAGTCAAAAGGCCCTGGAGAGGCAAGTATCTATTGAAGAATGTGGGAAAAAAAATAAAGCCAGCACTCTGTATTGTTTATCTTAGACCACTGTAGCTAATAATGATGGTGGTAGCGATGCTGACGGTAATGGTAATGGTGCTGATAGTGATGCTGATGGCAATGGTGATGATGATGGTGCTGATGGTGATGGTGGCGCTTATGGTGATGATGATGATAGTGGTGGTGATGATGGTGATGATAATAATGTGGATTATTATGGTGGTGATGATAGTGATGGTGATGGTGATGACAGTGATGATGGTGGTGATGGTGATAGTGGTGACAATGTGGTGAGGATGATGGCAGTGATGGTGATGGTGGTGATTGTGGTGTTGGAGATGATGGTGATAGTAATGGTGGTGATGACGATTATGATGGTGATGACAGTGATGATGGTGATAATGGTGGTGATGATGGTGATGGTGACAGTGATGTGGTTGGTGGTGATGATGGTGGTAATGGTGGTGATGATGGTGATGGTGACACTGATGTTGATGGTGGTGATGTTGATGGTGCAGAAACAGTATAATACAAATTTTCAACTGCTCCAGGTAATCAGGAAAAAATTAGGCTAAAAAGAGAAAATCCACAAACATAATTTTAGCCAATGGTTTTAACCTCCTTTTCTCTCCAGATCTGCAAATGATTTAACAAGTGTCAAAGTGACTTAATTTTGGTTTCATTTATTCACCTCACTTCCGCCCATCTTCTCCTGGCATTTAACAAGCTGGCCTTGTTTTACAGCATTCACTGAATATTCATAGAGTGTGACCTATGTCCCAGGAGTAATGCTGGGCTCTGGGGATGCAGTTGTGCCCAGGAGAGAACTGTCTCTGTTCCTTGGTGCTTGCATTGTCCTAGGTTGGCAGTGTGGTCCCAAACTATCACCACAATACCTTACACTTGCCTAGCACCGTGTGCATTTCTCAGAGTGCTTCTGCACACGTCACCTCGTCTGCAAGTCAAACACTGCGATTTAGTTAGTCATGCCATGCGACTCCTTCTGCCACTGATGTTTGTTGCCGTTCGAGCTGCAGCCTTGGCGTTCCCTGATGCCCTGCAGTGAGAGGCGTGCTCTGAAGGGCATGGAGTCACACTCGACCTCAGATACTCACGCTCCACAGGGAAACGAGCACAGGTCCTTGTCTGGGGTGGGTCACACAGAAGGCACCCAATAAATGTCAGTTTTCTTCTCTTCTAAAAATTCACCTGAGGGGCCAGTCCTGGGGCCAATTGGGTAAAGTTCTGCACACTCTGCTTTGGCAGCCCGGGTTTGGAGGTTCCGATCCCAGGCGTGGACCTACTCCACTCATCAACCACGCTATGGAGGCATCATGCATACAAAGTAGACAAGACTGGCATGAATGTTAGCTGAGGACTAATCTTCCTCAAGTGAAAAAAGAAGAGAAAAGAGGAAGATTGGCAATGGATGTTAGCTCAGGGCAAGTCTTCCTCACCAAAAAAAAAGAAAAAAGAAATTCTCCTGAGGGGCTGGCCCAGTGGCATAGTGGTTGGGTTTGCATGCTCCGCTTTGCCAGCCCAGGGTTTGCGTGTTCAGATCCCAGGCATGGACCTACACACTGCTCACCAAGCTGCACTGTGATGGCGTCCCACATACAAAAGGGAGCAAGATTGGCACAGATGTTAGCTCAGCGACAATCTTCCTCACCACAAATAAATTTTTAAAAATTTGCCTGATACAAAGATTTTGAAATAAACATTTGATGAGTTGGGTTTAGGTTTTGCATGAAATCAAAGCCTTGCAACTTGTCTTTTCTCTGTGTACTTCCTCTGGTCTTGGCAGGTTTTCATTCAGAAGAGAACAGATTTGTTAGAGGCTGGCTGATGTTCCAGAGGAAGTGGGTGGCGTGTCATGTGCATGGCCTCTTGCGGCGTGCAAAAGTGAAGGCATTCTGAGCTGCTAGACGAAGGGTGTGCTTGGATCCGTGGCACAGGGCACCACGCCCAGCTGTCCTGGGAGAGCAGACTCATCAGGAGAGTCATGCCAGGATCTGGGCAGTGTAGGGATGAGTCGTTGTATGAGCAGCCAGTCATTTTCTCCAGCTCTTCTTTCTGATAGAAGTTGCTTTTGTGTTTCCATCTCTCAATTTATGCTGTTTATCATTTGCTCTCCTTGGGACTCACTTGTTGCTGGCAAATTTTCTTGGCAGAACCCTTTGAAGATGCTCTCAAGAACCAGCCCTTGGGGCCCGTGCTGAGCAAGGCAGCCTCGGTGGAGTGCATCAGCCCCGTCTCCCCCAGGGCCCCGGATGCCAAGATGCTGGAAGAGCTGAAAGCGGAGCCTTGGTACCAAGGAGAGATGAGCAGAAAGGAGGCCGAAGGGCTGCTGAAGAGAGATGGAGACTTCCTGGTCAGGAAGAGCACCACCAACCCCGGCTCCTTCGTCCTCACTGGCATGCATGATGGCCACGCCAAGCACCTGCTGCTTGTGGACCCAGAAGGCACGGTGAGCACGGGGTGGGGGGCTCCTGCACTCCAGCCCCCTAGCAGCCTCCCCTGGGTCACCACACGGTCCCCACTGTCCTTCCTCTACCCACACGTGCCTGCTGGGGTCCTGACGGTCACTCCTCAAGGACCCCAGAGCCCCGGCATGGAGGACTCACGCTTCCAGCCCAGAGCCGGGCTACAGAGCCCACGGTCAGGGCCCTGAGTGACTTATACAGGTGGGAAGGTCACCAGGGCCCAGGCCGAAGGCCTTAATTCTCATGTCCTTTAAAATAAATAAATACAGAAACTGAGGATTTCTCTTCCAAATACATTCATAGTGGACGAGGAAGTACGGGGTTCCTGGGCTTTTAGTATTTATCTCAAATCTCTCTGAAGTTGGGTCACTGAGGTTTTCTTTCTTAGGTGATAAAATGTGAAGCGCTCAGTAAAGCCTCTTAATTAGTCTCTGGCTTTCCCACCCAGAGAACTGATGCTGCGTGATGGTGAGTTCACCGTTCGTGGCAGTATGACTATGTCTGAGTAGTTCTGTGGGTTTGACTGAACACACCCTCTTCCCATCAATAAATAGACTCGGCACCGTCCAAGAGCTGCTAAGTTTAATAAGTATAATTACATTTACGTAACCCTTGAATAAATTCCGGGATTGTTGTTTAACCTCTTCACCCGGTGAAACAAAGAGGCATGTGGAGTTATCTCAGTGGTGGTTAAGAACACTGCGTCTTTTGATTGATGGGTCGGATGAAGCCCAGATCTTCAGTTGGACTTGAACTCCATCTGACTGTGTGTGTCTGGGGTGGGACCAGTGTTGCCTGAGGTAATTTGCTGCCTCAGCTGTCTAGGCTCTCCTGACACCCATCTCTGCGCACCCTTGTCCCCTCTCCACTGGGCACCCACTCCCGTGAACTTACGCAGTGTATATCCTTCCGGTCCACCTTCTTTAGTTGTGTGGATTTTTTGCATATATGTACATTGGGGAAAACATGTATTTTGTGTTTGTGCATTTGAGAAATTTACGGACATACTATTGTCCCACAAATCCCATTTCATCTCTTTTTTCCCCGTGGTACCTGTGTTGAGCGCTGTCAGTGGGGCTTTCTGTACGCTGAGTTCTGTTTGCTGTGCGGCCCTTTGATTGCACGTCATCAGCGGGTTCTCCCGTGAATTTTATCTTGTGGTCTTTCCCCGTTGATCTTCTTATGGGGCTTTCTTGCTGAGTTTTTCGGCCTTCAAATTTCCATACGTGCTCTCCCACCTTTTCATCTATTGGATAATTTTGTCTGTGACGTTCTTCATTGAATCAAGGCTCTTTGGGATGTACCTGAATCCATCAGTTTTCCCCTTTATGGTTTATGCCTTTGAGTTTTCAAAGATTCCCTCACCTACAAATCACAGACATACTGAACTCTTCTATATTTTCTCCTGTTAGCATTATAGCTTTGTCTTTCACATGTAGGTTTCAGTTCCAACTGAAAGATGATGATATAAGGCAGGGACCCAACATTTTTTAAATCTCCATATAGTCAGCCACATTTTCTGTCACCGTTTACGAAATACTTTGTCTTTTCTCTGCGGCGCTGATGCCATTGGTTTTACATACCAGGTCCCCTGGACCGTGGGTCTGTTTGGGACTCTCAGTTCTGTTCTGTTGATCTGACGGTTTATTCCTGGTACGAGTCCCACACCGTTGACTCCTTACAGCTTTGAAACGTCCTAATACCTGGTGTGTGACTCCTTCCTCTGATTCTCCTCGTTATAAGTTCTCTTAGCTGTTTTCAGACCTTTATTCTTTGTTCTGACTTTAGATTCAGTTCATCAAGTCACCAAAAGCACATGGTGGGTTTAATAGAACTTGCATTGGATTTACGGTTAACGGGGGGGGGGAGAGCTGACATTTCAATACTAAATCGTCACATCCATGAACATGGCATAAGTCACCACTCATTTAGTTTTGAGCTGTCCTTTGTTAGAATTTGAAAATTCTCTCCAGAAGGTTCCTGTGTTTCCTCTGCTGGGTTACTTCCTAGAGTGTCTGGTTTTAGTTCTCTTGTAAGTGGCCTATTATTTCTGGTTACTTTTTCTCAACAGTTATTGCTGCAGGGAGAGGAATGTGGGGTGATCGAGTGCCTAGAAATTTTCCTGATTGTGGTGGTTTTCATGGAGGGTCGGCCGGGTCAGACACGGGCAGTCTTGCGTCCTGCCTTCCCATCCCGACCTGGCAGTCCTCGCTGTACTGCCCCGACCAGGGCGCCGTGGAGCACTGGCCAGGAGAGGGCGCACTTGTCTGTTCCCAACCTGAAAGGGACTGAAGTTGTTCCATTAAGGACGATGTACCCTTTTAGCAGACTGTCCTTATCAGCCTAAAGGACTTCATTCATTCATTCATTCATTCATTCATTTGTTTACTCAACAAATGTGTACCACATGACTCCTAAATCCTGGCACCTGTGATGTCTGTGAACCAGTCAAAAGGGCAATCTCTGCTCTAGTGGAATTCGTACATTTTAATTACCAAATTACTTTCATCCTGTATGCATACTGAACTTTATCGAGTGCTTCTTCAGCATCTTTTGAGATAATACTGTGACTTCTTTTTCTTAAGTCCGTTAATGTGGGGAATTACACAGGCAGAATTTCACTGTTGTGTCCTGGCATAAACCCTGCTTGGTCTTGACACAGAAATCCTGAAACACGTTGTTGGGTTTGGGTGCCTAACATTTTCTTTAGGGTTTTTTCAGTCACCGTTCGTAAGTGGAATTCGTCCTTACTGTCGTTGCTGCCATCGCTTGTGGGCGCTCATCTGGTCTGGGCATCAGGATTATGGGGTCGTACTCACCTCTTACAACGAGCTGGGCTTTCTCCAAATCACAGGCGCCTCCCCTCAAACACAACCCCCCAGAGAGCTTCTATTTTTTTACTCTGATTTATTTTTACCCCAAAGCACTTATCACAAACTAGCACCTGTTTATTTGCTAATTTGTTTCCTAATTGCTTCCCCCAGACTATAACTTCATGGGGGGAGCAGTCTTTTTCAGTGCAGGACCCCCAGCACCTGGACAGGGCGCGACACACAGTCGGTATTCAAGGAGCATCGACGCGTGAGCGCATAGAGCAACCTGGGCTTTCTCCGGTTGGGAGCTGAGAGCCCGGGAAGGCAGCTGAGGCGACACGGGTTCCGCGCTGCTGGCAGATATAGAATCACAAAGGAGGTTTTTTAAACAGAACCGTGCAGAGTTCTTGTACTTGCAGAGACTGTCTATTAATTCGGTTGTTGTGATCCAGAAGAAAATAGGAGAGAAAAGAGCCACACAATTCTATGAAAATGTAAATATTCTGGTTGAAAATTTTAGGTATTTTTAAAAAATGAAAAGTTAAAATTTACCTAAATTATACCATCCTACAGACAAAAAATGATGAATCTTTTGTTCATTCAGTCCTTTTAGACAAAAGCGGGGTGATTAAGAAAAGATTTGGAGCACTAATAATATATCACACATACATGAGCCTGGATGAAGAGACTGGGGAAGACAAGGACGGAATGAAGCCGTGCTCACGTCGGGGGGCCAGGGGTCCGAGCAGGCCAGACGCCTGCTGTGCTGTCCAGGCAGCTCTCATTCTGGAGGAGAAACTTGTAGGATGGTTGAGAAAACTTCTAAGTCACCCCTCTACTGACTGTTCTTTTTGGGGGCTTTCTGCTGGATCTGATTATCTAGTTTAATTGATCCTGTGGAGGATAGCTTTAGCTGAAAAAGAAAATGGAAATGAAACACTTAATTAAAAATGTAATGTTGCCTCCTTGCTGTGAGGACACCAAAATAGACGATGAACACATTCTCTTCAATATTTATTCATCTGATTTTCATGGTAATTGGTTGGTCCCTGAGTATAACAGAGGAAACTTGGCAGAACGGATCACTCAGGGAAACAAGGATGCAAAACAGTTCTGTGTCTAAATTTACTTCCGAGTAGACCCACCTATGTGCCTTCCCACGGTGCACCCATCAATCAGGACCAGCAGCCTGGGTGGCCGAGACCTGGGGGACAGGGAGACGTGGCAGGGCTCTGGGCACCGGGGGAGCGTTGGAGACGCCCGCCCTGAAGCGGCAGCTGGAAAGGGCTGGGGCGGGGTGGTGGAGCAGCCTTGGAGATGGCGTCTGGAACACTTTTTTTTGTCTTTTCAACATCTTCAGAACCATTTAGTCAGCCCTCTGCATTTAAAATTATCCCCTGAGTCATGGATCGTTGATTCATTCTTTCAGCCTTGAAGGGCCAGCAGAGGGAGGTGGGCCCTGTGCATGTGAAGAAGCTGCTGCCACCCCGTGGCGGGGGTCCCAGTGGCTTCACTCAGGTGGTCTTGGGTTGTGGCACATTGGGGAGCACAGCAGGGGCTTTGCATTCATAACAGTCACAAAACAGTGACAACCGTCCAGCACCCCGCTCTTACTAGGTTTTTATTTTATTCCGAGAGTAATTAAGAAAACAGCAAGTCCCCAATCCCTCTGCTAAATAAGCCTTGTTGTTATTTTAAGATTCCCTTCATATTAGTCAGTCTAGGGCTATGCTGCCACAACAAAGAAAATGTGAATTCTGGTGAAATGTGGTTTGACCCACAGATCTTCAGTGGCTACTCACACGAGCCCATGTGCACCCATGTGCCCCCCAGGCCCCCTGGTCCGTGGTCGGGTGACTCCGGGATCCAGGGGCTTTGAAATTCCATGAATACCCTGTCGCCAATCAAACTTTCAGTCTATTCATTTATCTGTTTTTGTCAGTGTGGAGTTACCATTCCTATTTCACTCAGTGGCTTCTAACTGGTTACTGTATTTATTCTGCACTCCTTCAAGCTACTTCTGTGTCCTTGTGACACATTGTCACTATCCTTTCAGCATCTTCCTCCTTCTGATACAAAACACTATAACAGGGTTATCTCCCCCCTCCCCTCCCCACTCCCCCCGCCACGGTGCTGCCATCTGCCCCTTCCCGAGGGAGCCCTGGCTGGCTCATTTTCATGGCAAGATCAGGATCTGGGCACTACTTGTGCCCATTGCTCGTGGGGAGTTGCACTCCCAGGCCCTCTACGTGGACACACGTGCATGTACATTTATTTCTCTATTTCTATATCTATCGGTATAGATTAGAAACATGAGCTCACGACAGTTCTTCTGCTGCCTCTCTGATACCACGGGGTTCATTTGCTTTTGTCCTTTTCCACATTCATAACCCTCTTCTCCAACAATAGAAACCTGACTCCCGCCATCCTTCGTATTTCTACCTGTTTGAGGAACTCCTCCCCTGTATGTAAGGCATCCACCACTGCGGCCGCTGCGCCCCCTGTCCTCACCCGGCCAGGGCTCCGACTTCTCTGTCCAGCCACTCCTGCCACTGTCTACTCCTCGCCCCATTCCTGCTCTGACCCCACGCCCCTCTGCCCTCCCACATACATGCCCTCCCCTGCTCGGCTCTGACTTCCATGCTGGGCTGCCCACCTTCTCCCTGGCATGGACCCCTCTGATGCCTGGGCCAGCTGTCCAGCCTGTGGGCCCTCGCCTTGCTCTGCCTGCCCTGCAGGCTCCCATCAGGGGCCACTGTGGCTACTACCCCTGCCCCCCACAGCACAGACATCTAGGCTGCCTGGCTTTTGGACTGGTTGTTCGTTTGGGAAGGAAAGGAAGGGGAGGGAGGAGCTTTCCAAAGTATTTTATAGCATTTCCCAGGCCTGCTGCGTTTCTCCTGTAAGTACTTTAGCATGCATCTCTACCAATGAGGACATTAAAAACATCAACATGACATCATTGTTATATCCAATAAAATTTAAAATAACCACTTAACATACTCAAATTTTCCTGATTATCTCAAAGATGTTTTTCTTACGGTACATTTGCTGGAATTAGCCTCCATCACGGCCCGTGTGGTGCATCCTGCCTGTTCCACTGCAGCTCCCCATCGGCCCCCACACCACCGACTTGTCTGAGCACCTAGATCCAGTCTGTAGACTATCTCACACCAGGATTTGGGTCCTTGCTTCCTTGTGGCACTGTTAACCTTGCTCCCTGTCCTCTGGATTTTCTTTGAACTGGTGGACAGAGATTTTTAAAACGGCTTTATTGGGATGTAATTTACATATACACCCATTTAAAGTGTACAATTCACTGGTTTTAGTATATTCACGGATATGTGCATCCATCACCACAGCCAATTCTGGAACATTTTCTTCACCTAAAAAAGAAATGCCGTAACATTTAGCTACCACCCCCCTCTCCC